AGTTGTCACATTGACATGGGAAACTGATCGTGCTCCTAGCCATGTGAAAATTCCAACTGATGAGCTCCTCCCGGGAGCACTGCAGTTTCACGACACGTTTCACGTCAAGTGGCGTTGTCATATCACTTATGAAACTCCATTATAGGTTTCTGGATAATTTCATTCCTCAATCTTATCACCTCAAGCTCATACTTCCATATTTCAACTCGGTGTTTGTCGGGGAATCCTTTCCGTCCAAATTCCTTTATGTCATCGTCGGGAATTTCTTCAATCGATCCAAATCTGCACGCATGCACACGCGTACTACCAAACTGTAACCACTCTCTCATCACCTCCGCAACGCCTTCTCAAATCGCGCTTCTCTCCTCGTTCTTTTCGCAGCGAAAAAATTCCTGGAAAAAAATTTTTTCCCATGAAAAAATCTGATTTTCCCATACCACTACTTTTCATAATCGTTCACTCGAGCTGTCATTGAATCGTCATATTGGAAACCCCAACGATCGCTGTCGCTCAGCTCGGCCGCATTGAGCAAATCGGAGACTCCCACGACTGGTTCATATCCGCTGGAATTCACACTCACAGGTATACATGGCACTAGACATGAAAACATGGGGGGAAAACTGGAAATTTCCAGGAAAAAAATCGTAAAATTTCTCACGTGTAGGTTGAAAATACACCACTCATGGAAGCAATAGAGAAATATATTGTTATGGAAATCCTTAAACCGTAGGACTACGACTCAATATGAGAGTTAATCTCCCTGTGTTCGATTACAAGCAGCGATGACCTGCAAAGCTCTGCACTGAAAATTGTTTTTTTTGTGGAAACAGAATTATACACGTTTGACATGGTACATTATACGAGTCACAAGTGAAACGTTCATCAACCTTAACCAATCAAACAAATAAACAGAGCCCGCAAAGAGACGGGTGGAACACTGGTACGTAGTCACGATGCCGCTGGCATCGTCACTGAAAATTGTTATTCGCTCACCCGCAGTATGTGTGCAATATTCCTGCATTGTGTCATTGTCAACCGAAACGGTTGTCCCTCGTTCGTGGATAAAATATCAAGCTATCATCTTTTGGTTAAGGTCTACCTCTCCAGTCTTGGAGGAGATGTGTTATCATGTGGCAATTCGAGGCTGACTATGGTGACGACTCCCTTGACGGGTCCTCTGTATATGGTGGAGCATCTGACGACCACATCTTAGAAGACATCACTGTCACCCCTGTCTTTCAACATCTCTGAGATATAGTGAGAACAAGAATATCGGTAGGAGTTGTGAACTGGTGCGAAACCATCGAATATAATATGATGCCTTCTTTTCTACGCCTGGTGGAGTAACCTGTTACTGCAAAAGTAGAATTACAGTCTAAGACTACAGGGGCTTCGAGTATTATATGTCTTTAACACATACACCTAAGACGTCCGGTTTTACGTCTAGCAACAGCCTTGAATGAGAATCTTGACAGTGAGAAGTGATTTCTCACTGTATCTTAAAATTTGAATCGGGAAATATCTCCTGATTTTGGAAATACTTCCGTAAATTTTTGTTTTTTCCACCGTGGTATGAGTAGTGTTTAATAGACTGATTTCGAATTAAAAGGAGCATGTAGTACCCGCATCGTTTCAAGAGTGAACTTCAACTTAGTTGTGCTGAATGCGTAGCGCGTGATATTTTCAAAGGTACTTTTTTCGCATAAACGCTGAGCGAAAGAGTCCGCAAAATGTTACTTCCGCTCAGCGTTTTAAGTGGATACGTAGTGAGCGTTTTATGGTGGGTAATTTCTTTTGTCAGACGGAAGGCTGGAAGATTCTGTTTCATGTGGGATTGGCGATTTTCAAGGTATTCCAGGATGAATTAGATGCGATGGATTCCGAATACATTATGCAAAATCATAAGAAAATAACGTCGAAGTTCGTGGATCACAACAGGTTGATGAAGGTGGCATTCTACGGTTTGGGTGAGGTTCCCAGAGGGGTGGTATGAGATTATATAATTGTATAATAGGCGTGGTGAAACGTTCCCAAATTGGCGACTATCGTCGAGCTGCTCCACGTCACAATCCATCGAAACCAAGCCGGTCCACCTCAGCTGAGTTGATGTCGATTCAGCAGTGTAGGTGTAGCGACTCTTCGACTGGGCCGTACGCACGAGCAGCGGCGACCGGTCCACCGTCTTGCAACTCAACATTACCGGCTGTAATCATCTAGTAGTCTAGTAGTAATATCGGAGTGATAACAGGTGACCAACAAGTGGGAAAAGACCAGGAAAAAAACCCCTGCACGATCAGTATTACGCAGAACAAAGGTAATAGCGCGTCTCAACTAGGCTCCTTCAAACCAAGTCGCGTCACATCAATAGTCTTGTAATCTTGTATTTACTCAATAATCTAGTAATCTCTCTACGGATAACACTGATAACAATAAATCTGGACGAACGACGAACAATAATCTCTCATAATATCTAGCATAGTCTCAACTTCCCTTCACAGTAGGTTGTTGTAATTGGTATCTTTTGTTCATGCGTGCAAGGAGATTCCGGTGAGGTGCACCGAGATTATCTCGGCGAGATAGCAAAGAACCGACTAGCGACATTGAGCATGAGGAGTTGGTGGTGTCGGGTAAGCAGGAAAACCGTATTGCGGTTTATCACGACATTGGAACATTGGAGGATGGCGAAACTGAGGAGAATAGAAAATGGATCGGAAAGAATCTCTATGATACGGAAGGCTTTAATTTAGCGGGCTTGGCAAATCGCGAACTGAGGGAGAATTATTCTCCCTCAGTTCGCGAACTGAGCTCTGAATGGGGATTCGCTCAACACACTCTATCGATGACTTGTGAGTAGGTGTAAGACTTCTGCCGACTTTGAGCTCTTTTGTTGGTCTTGCGGGTAAAGCCGCTGAAGTCTTCCGGCATCCTCGCGAGCGAGGCTTCGAGGAACCCATCGAGAGCGTCACCAGACATACCAAGTCTACTCCAAGCTATGATTCCTTCGTCGGATATGACTTCATGACTCAAGTGATCCCTACCAGTGGGATCGGTGGTGTTGAGTAGGCTACACATAGCCTCCACCACCGATTCATTGTATGTTCGCATAGATCCAGCGAGGTAGAGTATATTTTGTATCCCCATGTAATGAGGACGACAGTGGAGCATTTTCCATACTTGAGGCACGTCTATCTTTCCATTACCGGCCTCCAGTTAGTCAATAGAGCGGAGCCGATCAATGAAAATGGCGAGCTCCGAAGTAAACTATTCAATATCCAGAGCATACGCCTCTCTATCGATAGCCGAAGCTCCTGCAATCTAACCCCGCCGTACTTGTGCATTGATCAACCTCCGGAGACTTGTTAGTATCCAGTTTTTATCAGCGTCCGAGAGCTCGGACAATAACGAGCTGCCGAGAAAAGCCTCGCCACTGAAGATCTGCGAAGCAGCAACGAGTCTTTCTGGAAGATCAGACAGGATACGGATATTAAGGCTCTCCTTGAGTTGTGGGAACCACGACACCATGTACCATTCTCGAGTCAGACACCTTCTCAAGGTCAACTTCATTCCAATGAGGATCTCCAGTGGAATCAACAGCATATAACGAGGGAAAGCATTCTATGTCAAAAAGTCCTTTGGATACCTGTAATAGTACTTCAGAAGTACTGAAAAGTCCTCATGTATATCTGAGGTACCGTGCCTCAGATATACACGTAGATTCCTCCGTGGCATCGATTAGCATTTCCAATGCCGCTATCCCGGCAATCAGAGAGTTTCTTAAGGCTTGTATAGCAGCCGCTGTTTGCCATGGTCGAGCGAAAACTTATTGAGAACAACCCGAAGCTTGGCTCACGTGCTTCATCGTATCGTAGACCACTAGGAATTTCACTATCCAGTCACACGATGTGTCTCACATTGTGTTATCCCAGGCTCTCCCATATGAACGAGCAGTGGCCCACTGCCAGTGGGTAATTACGTGAGAAGTTCTCATAGACCCGAGGCTCAGAGCTAGCCCATCGCGTAGGCATGAAAGCTAAAGGCACAAAATAAGGGACTCCGGTCTGAAAGGATGCCTGCTCTAGCACCTCAAACGCCTGCCCGTGCCTCGCTGGCATGTGCTGGTGAAGTTTAGCTCAGACATTAGTAATGCCTTTACTCGCATCATTGCAAGCGAGCTCCAGCCTATGCGCCACACACGATGTATGGACGAGTGTAGTAGGGACAATTTCGAGGTTGGCCCGCAATTTATCATTTAGACACAGATTGTGGTACTCCCAATCAGTCGCGACCGCTGTTAAAAAGTTTTGCAGAAGGACTTATGATAAGTCACTTATCGAAGACGTCTTCCAATGTTCGCACCACAAGTTCGGCTGATCCCTTATCACTTTTATCCGAAACAACAAAGGTAGCACGAAATGCGGCCATTGACTAGAGTGAAGATGGCTACGGGTTGTAGAGTTCGACGACGAATAGTTACTTTATCGCAAGACGCAGCCGTAGGCGAGGGTCTGTTGCCGGAGCATAACCAAGAGCGAGTCAATAATGCACGTATACGCCCTTTCATTTCTTTGATCATAATTTGGATGACTAGAGGTCAAAAAGAATCACGAGAATGCCCCACGTCACCGATTCCTACACCATCAACTGCATTGAGAGCGAGTAATCTCTCATAACCACGGCCGCTCATATTCTCAACCACCGAGAAATATACACATCTGTCCACTGCGAGATCCGTAGCACGGTGACCGTGCCACGGTCTCTGGCCTCCTTTGCATCCGCGAGTGCCAAGCATTTAAGACGTGTCGAAGTTTTCAAGCGATCACGAAGGGCTGAGAGGAAGTCTCTACGGCGAGCTCAATCGAGGGCATCAGGACATTGAAAGACACCAATCCTCTCGGGGCCTCCAGGGCGATTCCGAGGCTGCAGAGAGTAGTTATAAGTATAACAAGTGGTGCATTCAACCGCTTGGAGTGCGTCGTTCACCTTGAATGGACCAAGGGTCGACACTTCTCTCTCTTAAGCTCGCCCTTGTCCTTCGCCTCACGATCAAATTCTAAGTGCTCAACCAACTTGGCCTTGATGTCTTCAAGCAGCTCACTGTGCATCCTCAGAGTATCAAACTGTGTGCGCAAAAGTCCGTTAGTTGATGAAGGGACGTTGAAGACCGGAAATGCCTCGACCGGCTCAGATTGTTGAGCCTCAGCTAGCTCGGGTTGCTGGTCCTCTGCTGACTCGCGTTTCTCAGCCACAACTTCACGCGGGGCTTGGACCTGTTCGCCCTCCTGACCGTCTCTCTCTCGATTCTCAAAAGCTCCACCATCCGTCACTCTCTCGCTTCGAATGAGCGCCCATGAAAATGAGCGGCATACTTCATTCACTGCAAGCATATCCACGTCTTCCGTAGCTAATTAATAACTAGCTCCTGTTGCACCGGGTCTCTCGGTCCGAGAGTGAAGCATGGACTCATCTCCTGAATCGCCTTCGGTGGCTCGCTTTCTTATAGCAGCAAACTCGAAGATGGAAACGTTGTTCCCGATGGGCTCTTAACGCTCACGGCATCCGGCATGATGCCTTTCAAAATGCCTATTCTTTTTGAAGTTGTCGACTCTCTCTTTCACGTTGCAGTAGAGACACTCCAAGATGTCACGGGAGGACATAGCAAGAGGATGGAAACTTCCGAGTAGGAGCGTGTCCAGTGAGCGAAGAGTGCTACCGTCTAGGTGGCGGTGGTTCGAAGCTCGACACGGCTAATCTATTCAAACCGACCACATGGCTCAGGTCGAGCCTATAAGTCTTCTATAAAAGACTTTATAATGTGAGGGGCGAAACCCTCGGCCTGGGAACAAAGTCCTTTGAAAGACGCCTTCAAATGAAGCCTTCGATGTTACAATGATAGTGGTCGCGGTGCAACAAGCTTCACTGAGGCTTCTTCGATCGGGTCGAGCTTGTCCGAATGCGATTCAAGGCGCTCTGGTCTATCGTACAAGATGCTACATGATGTCACGGCACTAAGGGGAAGAGCAAATCCGCGTCATACACGCATCGAAACCGATGGCGCTCGGGCCGGCGCGCGCATATG